GAGCAAGGTACAACGCACGTGTGGTCGTGTAGAAGGAAGGGTGCTGCTGAGGGCAGCGCCATAGCCCAGCTTCCATAGCTGGCTGGGGCTTGGTGTTACAGCAAGGTGTAGTGGTGGTCTTCGTGCATGAGGGAGAAGACGCGGGTGAAAGACAAGGGATAGATAGTGAGAGAAAGAGATGAGGATGATGGCGTGAGGGCACATACCTGGTATTGGCTATAGTCTGCATTGGGCGACATCTTCATGTACTTCGGTGGCTGCTGACATCAACAGTTGCATTGTCAATTCGTAGGCAGATAGTAGCTGTGTGGGAGTAGTCTGGGTGCCGAGCGCTAAGTAGGAGGAAGAGCCTGGACTCTTATGTTGGTGACAACGAGAGTAAGCTCTCATTGACATTTGGTTTCAGTGTTTTGATTCTCCATGATTGGTGTATTATTGGTGCAATGCTGCTTTCTGGACACAGTGGAACTTTCTGGCTTTCAATGTGATTGTGCAATCTGGATTCTGTCATGATCTCGCTCTTGCTCATTTTCCTTGCACGTACCTTGCCCCATACTGCAATTAGAACTCGTTTTTGTTGTGACTCTACTGAAAGTTACCCCCTTTTTTCTTTTTCTTTTTTGAAGTTTTTTCTTTTAATGTTAGTAACGGAATTAAACACACAAATCACTCGACGAACTACGAACGTTTTGAGTTGGACACTACAGCCTTGCAGGGGTGGGGTGGATAGCACGACCGGTATGGTTCCACTTTTGAACACCGTGTCTTGGCTGTAGTGGTTACGAGACTTGGCTCTTGAGGCCGAGATCGCAGGTTCGAATTCATGAGTGCACGAAGGACTGAGGCCCAGATGTACGGATCCAGTTACTACTGTGGAATGCTCCTGTGAACCAGCGGGCAGTTAAAGTTAGCCTGCGTGAGTGAACGGGCTAAGTACCAGTGGGGGGTGCGTGCTGATTGGAGCGAAGTGCGTGTGAATTGCCGTGTGGAGTTGAGTGTGGTGTGTGTTGAGTTGGACACTACAGCCTTGCAGGGGTGGGATGGATATCACGACCGGTATGGTTCCACTTTTGAACACCGTGTCTTGGCTGTAGTGGTTACGAGGCTTGGCTCTTGAGGCCGAGGTCGCCGGTTCGAATTCGTGCGTGCACGAAGGAGGACTGAGGCCCAGATGTACGGATCCAGTTACTACAAACGGCCATGCACAGCCACCCATAGAATCAAGAACAAGTGCTAATTCGCCCAGTTTTTTTTTTCTTTTTTTTTAACTAATTTAGACCATTCATCGATTTATGCGCGTCATCCTTGCGCAGGGGCTATGCTAATCTTCTTTCTCTGTATCGTTCCCATTTTAACAAATATGTCCCGAAGGACTAATTCCTCTAGGTTTATTTCTAGCTTGTGACAACTTGCCACCCTCTCTCTCTCTCTCTCTCTCTCTCTCACACAACTCTATTCCCGACTACCATGTCCTTCCCTTCTCATTCCATAGATGCTCTACTTTCCATATCCCTTTTCCAGGTTTCCTACCCATCTTCTTCAGCATCTATTTTTTTTGCTTTTTTGATGTAGCGGCTTATAGCCCCATCTATACTTGGGGGCAATAGTCAGGTTGCTTATCACGGGCATCCAAGGGTTCAAAATAGAAGAGAAGAGATAGCAAGCCGATGAACCTGTCCATTTCCTGTGGGAAGATGCACTCGTTTTGCTTTTCGTTTCGTGTGCTGTGCGGTCGACGCCCACAGCCATACGATCCTGTCCTAGAAAGACAATACAACAATGACTCGATGAATTATTATTTTTTTACTTTTTTTTTAAATCGCATTAGAAAAGAAAAGAATCATACCTTCTTCACCCAAATACAATGTACGGTCATTATAGCTGTATTCAGGGTATATTTCAGTCTAAATGCAGCAATAATGACCGTACGTTGTATTCGGATGAAGAAGGTAGTCATCGGGAATGCAAGAACTTACTCTTCTTCAGCGAGTATGGCAGCAGCGAACGCAGAAGCTTCAGGAGTCCCCTGCAATAGTCAAAAGAGGGAATTGAATTCAGACCTCCTCTTTGAAAAAAAAAAACAAAAAAAACAGCAGACCTCCTCACTCTGAGGCAAAACTATTGAAAACAAACATAGAAAGAGAAAACAAATTAAATAATAAAATATAGTATATAGCTAGGCTATCAGAGTGGCCCGGGACCAATTGCCTGGGCCGGGCCAAAAATAAATAAATAAAATTAAAAAACCAGATTTTGTTTCAATTTTAATTTTGAATTTGGTTAAGAATTTCGATATGACCCCAAGGCAAAAGTTACTCAGTTTATTTTTCTTCATAAATAATTTTTTTTTATTTTTTTTTTATTTTTTTTTTATTTTTTTTTGCTGGGACCTTCCTTGGTCCTTGCATGGCCGGGCCTCCCGGGAAATCAAGGTGACCCGGGCGGCCTGGCTGGTAGCCTAGGTATATAGTATAGTATATACTATATAGTATATACTACATACTGAGCTTCTTCCTTTAAGGCGAGAAACTCATCCGGATCCCGCTCTTTTTTCAGCAGTGAATCACGCTGAAAGAAACGTGTGTGTGTGGATGTGTGTGTGTGTGTGTGTGTGTGTGTGTGTGTGTGTG